GTATCCAGTCTTTTTTGAAAATCAGGTTGTTCAATCCACTTGCGATCCCACGCATTGAGCCCCAATAATAAATTATAATTTAGCTTGATCAGTGATTGATTTTCCTCCTTGGCAGATCTTTCAGCAATAATATCGTACAATTGTATTAAAATTTTGCGAGCAGGTACCGACGATATCGTACCAAGCAGGGGTGCGATAGCTCTAACATGATTTTCCGGTGATCTCACGTGTTTTATGAGATTTGTAACGGTCGTTAAGTATTCTATAATAATGTCTTCACTTTCACACGTTGCTGCTTTTTTAATTAATATTGGTAAAATAAGTACCAATAATGTATCACACGTATCGGGATCCTTTGCAAACTCAGAGATACGCGATAGAATAGTTAATTCAGTTTTGTTCATACCTCTGCTAAAGTTCTTAAGCTTTTTCTTCATATATTCTAAAATATCATCGACGTGTGGAAGTAAAATAACGGATCCATAATTAATACCCTCCGATAAAAGTTTATCATTTAAAGGAAGTAAATTCGTAAGGACAGACGTTAATGGTTCAACAGGCATATCTACATCCATACGATTCGCATCTGAATTCTTTTTTCCGTAATCCTCCATTGTTAGCATCTTTTCAATCATCTCCAAAATTGCATTAATCACGGACGGATGCGTTTTCGTTCCCAATAAAAGTTTCATGACGTATGGAAGAACCGTAATATCGATATTGCTCTCCTGATGTCTTACGAACAAAGGATAATAACGAGAATTTTGGCTCCAAGATATAAATAATTTTAACAAAGCTGTAGGACTATGAATTCCTTCCATGGGTAATTTTTCCAACCAAGGAAATACTATGACATTTAAAACGGCATCTATTTCGTGCCTTTTCCATTGGTAATCTTCAAAATGGGAAAAGAATCTTGACATTATAGCGATACAATTAGTTTTAATATTTTTGATGCTCGATAAATAACCAGAATGGACTTGATCCGATCTTTGTAAAATTCCTTTGACTTTGGCCCCGATGCACATCAGTATGCCAAGTAAATAGGGTAAAATTTGATTTGTCATTTTCGCCCCAAATTGTTCAATCATTATTCCTAATAAATTCACGATACTTAATAAACGTTTTGGTGGGATGACGTTATTTAAATCAATAGAATTTACGATATTCTCTATTAATTCGTTCAAATCGACATTAATGTTTGTAGAAAATGATAAATATCTTCGAAAAGGTTTAAAAGCCATTTCAACGAACATGATCATTTCATCCTCTCGAGAGCCAGCGAGAAAACGCAATATAATTTTACGTTTTAACAATCCACCAGCCTTACCACCAGTTCGCATTCCAGTTTTCATGATCATTTTTGCATAAATTATTCTCATCAATACAGGCATAAGCCCGTCGCGATCATCGTCCAATATAAATTTGCTTTCCGTGTCGACATTAAAACGTGCGAGTTCATTTTTAAAATTCTTTTCGCTAATTAAATTAAACAAATGATCCTTGTATGGTAAAAGATATTTATATTTGTATGTACAAAGGCAATTTAAAGCAGCCTTTTGTATTTCAGTATTCTTAGAAGTAAGCAAATCCAAATATATTTGATGCATTTCTGATTCTCTATATAATACAGTTGGATTGTTCATTTTCCCGTATATCTCCATTTGAGCGAGTAATAATTTTACTTTGTGTATTCTGTCTTGCACAGGTAATTTAGTATTGTCTACTTTTGAAGACACGTCTTTTTCGGTTGCTTCATCGTCGTCATCATCGTCCTCGTCATCGTCCTCATCCTCGTTACCGTCTTTTTTGTTCATATTATCGTTTGCAATAGATGCATTTTCATGTTTCTTAATGCTACAAACTTTGGCATCTTCGGAATTCAATTTGAAAAAGTTCGTATTTACGAATTCGATGAAAAAACTTGTCAAATCTCTATTTTTCATTTCACAGTAGTTAACAAAATTAGACATGCACTTCCAAAGGAGAATTTGATAATTATTACTATCTGGTTTATCATCTATTTTATATATTTCTAACTTCAAACTTTCAATGATGTCACATCGATATATTTCCTGATATGTCTTATTAGTTGCACTTGCATCCTTTAATTCGGAAAGAAATACTGGCCAAAATTGAGTACAAGCTTTGTTAGCGTAGCTTGCTATTATATTATTTACAGGATCCCATAATAATGAAAAATTAATATACAAATTGCCTAATAAATATCTAAGAGGAATTTCGTAATACTTCGGATCTAAATTAGTTATAGCATTATTGTCAAACGTTAAACTCTGTAAATGTAACAACTTATCTCGATATTTTTGTATCGTCGGTGGCGTACTTTCAGCTAAATAAATCAGATCCAGAGGATTCTTATCAATATTTTCTTTGGATAGCATTATACCTTCGACGTTAGCAAATAATGAATAAATATGTGTTACGACCAAACGAATTAGATGAATAGGCGAATTTAACTTTTTAACTATGCAACTGTGTAACGTGTCAAAAAATACTTGATTGAAGAATTTTTCCTTGTACTGCGATCCATTGTAAAACGTTAAATACAGATCTACCGCGTTGAGAATGAAAGGATCATCGCTCTGTTTTTCTAAAACCCGCATTATCTGTATATCGTGCGTCTTGGTAAATTCATCAAATTCGTCTTTACTCAAAATATGAATCATCGTATCGAGTAAAAACAAAAATATAAAATTAAGCCTCTTAAGTTTCATAACATCTGCCGAATTTTCCGTATTTTCGTAATGCAGTATTCCATCGTAAACTGTCAGAAATTGTTTCCTTACCGAACCCTTAATATCCTCGGGAAGAAATTTAATATGTGATACTATCATTAGAATCCAAAAAACATCTAATGACGTAGAATCCATTACGCCGTTCAATTCTTTCAAGAAATAATCTATGCTTTCCTTCGACATATCTCTCATATCCAGATTGTATTTCCTCCATTTGTTCAAAGTTAAACCCCAAAGGCAAGGAGGTACTTTTTGTTTTATTATTTTACCTAATAACTTTACTTCTTCAGATTTCACTCCAATGGTATTACATCGTTTCAGCAAATGTGGTAATACCAGAGACTCGAATGAAGAATAATGTATCAATTTTTCAATCGCATCGTATAATAATTCTACATTATCTATAGACATTATTTTATTAAGCATAATACCAGAGCATCCTTGAGTCAATTTGACATCAGATAGAAGAATATTTATTAGCGCATTGATAATCTCCGATAAAACATTATTTTTTGGAAAATCGTCAATCATATGCGTCAGCATTTTAATCATAGGTGCAGGATTGTTCAGCATCCTTCCATTTTTATGCTTGAGAACAATATTCATGAGAGATAAAATAAGTTCTACGTGATTCTTTCTTCCCAATACAATTTCCTTGGTTGTTGTATCTAATATTTTAAAGAATGTGTTCCAAAGTTCATCGCATTTGGAATAATGTATATTCTCTAGAATACAACTAACCACTTGTTTTATGATTGTATACGCGAGATCTTGATTTATAGATTCATCTTTAAGAGAATCAAAGTAAATCAATAGCATCTGCTCTGCACAGGAATGAAATTGACCTGGCGTCCCAGATATTACTTCGAACATTAATTTTCCACAACCAATAGCACCGTGTTCATTATTCTCCATTAATTTTAACAATAATTTGACAAATTCTTCTTTGTCTTTAACTTTTCTAACGACAAACGCAAAACTTTCGGCAGCGAAATTATTAATGTAATATGGCTGTGTATCATTAAATAATGGCAATAGTAAATCCAAAACGGTTTTTACATTTTTCACTAAATATCGCCATAGAAATTTGAATAAATAGGCAAGAGCTACGAATGCGTATTCTATTTGTTCCGAGTTTTTTGTTTTTAATAAACTGACTATGATATTTAAAAATTCCGGAAAATATTCGTAAAAATCTTTTTGTAGATCTTTTGCTAAAGCTACTACCAACCTGTAATATACAACGGTGCATATGTTATATATCATTCAATTATCGTTATAATAATAAACGTTGATACATTAAGATTGAAATTCGGCAATACTCACTCTAGTATAGGTTGTAAAAACAAAACATCTTGTTTTCTTAGATATTCCAAAAGTAAATCAACTACATACTGCTTCTTATTTAACAATTGAGGAAGAGTAACAATATCATGCACTTGTTTCTTAAAGCTACAATAGCCCTCTGTTAAATTCAAAAGGTTCCATTTTTTCAGTGTTTCATGAAAATATGTTTCAATCTCCTCTTCATCTTCCTCATTTTTGTGTAAAACGCGATGAAAAATATCAATGTCTATTTCATTTACCCGTTCGGAAAACTTTTTAAACTGTAGAATAAAATGTTATGCTAGATCAAATGTGAAATAAAAAATGTATCTTACAAAGAAAGTATTTAGAAATCATGTAATTACAGTACCTGAAAAGTATTTTTTCCCTTGTGTCGTAACGGTTTATTCTTCATTTTGATATACTATTCCAAAAAATTACGCCTATTTCATTTAATAATTAATGTTATAAATGGTACACGTATAACACGCACTACAAAGTTTACACATTGGAAAAACAGCCGGAAATAACCAAGAAGGCACGTGCTGTGTACATCGAAAAGCAAGGAAACTCTAAAGAAGCAAACTCTCCAAAGAAAAGACTCTACGTAGAAACGCTCTCTACCTGTTTTGAAAAGAACTATTCATCAGGCATAAATATGGTGGCAATTTATGGAACACATAAAACGACAAGTTTTTTTAGTTCTCTGTTCTCTCACTATCGAGCTGTTGTACTGCAACGGTTATATACATGATTATAGCTTTAAATAAACTTATTTTTTATATACAACGTGTATAAAAAATAAAAGCAAAGCAATTGTTGATATATTTTCACGAAAATAATGGCTCAATCTTTCCTCGTGTGTCTCTAACAAGTAAGATTTTTATTATAACATTTAATTTATTATGCAACAATTTGTATAAACACTTTAACGGGTAAATCAATTTATAAAAATGTTCGTAGAACGGATAAGTATCCCATAGATGTCTTCAGTATCTACAAGTACAATTGATAAATATATTTGATTATCCAATGAAATTGTTCTCTATGGTTGGAATTAATGTATTAAAGAAAAAAGATATAAGTACAGTTAGAGTTCAGTAAATTTGAATGCTCACATCGGTAAAAGTGTACAACGATAAGGCGCGAAATTTGGCAGATGTCAGTTGGAGTGGTTTACTCGTGCGCATCATGCAAATGTAAATTAATTTGAAATTTGTCGATAACGTATCGTACCATTTGATGTTGTAAAACGCTTCGTTCAAGTTCATGCTCTAAGTTAAAAAATATCTAATTTGATTACATTGCGAATAACTTAGCGTTTCGGTAGATCAAATTAATTTCGAATCGAATTACTTCCTGAATGAGACCTTCGCCGATGTAGCAATATACAAATAACGTAGTCGATAATCCACAAGCATGTATTAGAAAAAGAATAACTTGATCATCTTCTTTTTTGGCCAAAGACTGGAAAAGAGAAGGAAAAAGAGTAATTATTGAAACTGTTGGGGAAAAAAGTAAATAAGAAAGTATAGTATCGTATTTATTTACCACGAGCATCTGATAGCCAGCCAAACAAAGCTGAAACGTAGTCGCTAATAATTGTTGAAAAATAATTGCAGTAAAATTATCTTCCAATGTTTCTGCCAATCTGAAATGCGTTGAGTATACTTTCGAAATGATACTTACAATTATATTAGTCAATAGTCAATCGTCTAACTTCACTTGTCTCGATTTCTCGTAAAAAACAATTCAAAGGACAAAGCACTGCGACTTGGCGTGAAAATAAAAAGCTAATTTTCGAAATATTTATCATAGTCTTTTTTTCTCCATTTATTGGCACTTTAACAGGAGCCTCAAATTCTTACCTGATTAGACGACAATGTTCAAGGATTACTTTCCTTAAACCTCGTTCGCTATCCTCTAAACTTTCCGCAATTCGGTGTTTTAGTATCGCGAATTGGGCAGTTATATGAAGGGCCGAACTAGCGAAAAGGCAATCGACTCCAACGTAAGCGGAAACGATCAGAGGAATGGACAGGCTCTGATATATACATCCAAGGAGGAAACTCATCGTATTTTTTGGCTTTATGAGTGGCTTTATTTTGTAAGGTAATTGATACTCGAAAGTTGCATTGGGCATAACTGAAATAAATGACACTAATCGAATAATAGAACATTAATAATTGTATGTAAAACGTTACCCGATTGCACAGACGTTAGAGCTTCTCTAACGAAATACGAGACGAGTACCAGGGTCATCGATGATACAGTTATCGCGATAAATCTATAGGATAATTTATTGTAATAATAAAATATCGATCTCTCCTCCGTATTACGATAATTTTTATCGGAGAAATCTTGTTGAATTTCTTTCAGGAACCGAGCAATCGGTCGGCTGTTTATTCTGCAAGTGATCATCTTCATAAGAGTAGTAGACATTAATATATTTTCTACAAGGTTAATGATAATATAATCGAAATCCAACAAATGATCGAAGAGATTGAGAAAACTCGCAGACGTGATGAGACATCCGTAGATAAAATATATTAAAAATATCGAGTCGCGTACTTGCAAGGGCCAAATACCCGAAATACGAAGCAATCGTTCGTTCCATGTTAACACTTTAATGGCATATGAGGATTCAACACCCTGGAACGACAACAAAGTTGATATTTTGTGAACACGTAAACTCGCGTAGAAAAGGATTTCTTCTTAGTATTAAATTAATTAAAAGATGTGTACAGTTGTACTCGTACTTTTCCTTCATTTTCCATTTGATTCGCACGAAAGTTGTCAAGAAACTGGCCCTCGAACTGCCGATCCACTCCAGAGGTAAACTTGGACGTTCGAAGGAAAAAAAGTTATCCAAGTTTTGGTAAGAAAAATTGATAGGTCTGCTAGACGACGAACCTCTAATAATGGATTACAACAATAGAATGGTAAATGCGCATGAATGATACAGTTATCCTATCCTTTCTTTCTTACTTTTTTTTTTCTTTTTCTTCTTTAGCCCATCGATTATGCAATTTCCCTTAATCAAGTAGTTAATACGTCTTTAGTAAAAAATAATGGCTGGATTGTAAGAAGAGCTAGTTTCAAGCTCTTCCATTTTCAAAGTTTCTAAGCTCTACAATTATATCAACCCTTTCTCATTACCCTATAATTCAGTTGAAAAGTTCCTTCGTTCGGAATTACTATAACCGAACTTATGAATTCTCTACGAAATAGAAGGAAAAGAAAAGAAGAAAATACGAGAAAAAAAACTTTGGTAACCGTGAGGATATACAATTTGTCTTTTTTTTTCGAAACATTTATCGTTTTTTCCCGTTCTCGTCGAAGAAAAGGTCGCACAGTTATTTTAGAAACGAAATAGATTCCTGTCAGTGAAACAGCGAATTTTCCATCGACGTCAAATTCCTTCGAAAAAAGTAAATCGCAAAATTCTAGACAAATTTACTAAAAAATACAAACTCTCGTAATATATTTAATACACTAATATAATAAAAAAAATGAACGTAAGTAAGTACGAAAAGGAAATTTCTATTAACGACATATTACGACATATTCATAATCAACTTAATCAAACATAAATAGGACACAAATTTGCGTACGAGTTATTTCTCTATCGATTTTCTTCGATTATAACAATGTTCGTAACACCGACAGGTATCCAAGTGAAGTTTTCAATATCTAGAAAAGTGAAAAAAGAATAAAAGCACGGAGAAAATTAAAAGGAAATTTACTTACCGTCTATGTAATTAAAAAGTGTGATTATGGAAAAATTCTTACATCGGTGAAAGTGCATAAAGATAAGACGAAAAATTTTCCAGAAGTTAATTGCAGCGGTTTGTTTGCTCGAATCATACAAATTAATACCATTTTCAAATCGATCGGAGATATGTTATACCATTCGTAATCGTAAAATGCCACGGCAAAATTAGTGCTCTAAATTAATGAAGATTTAATCAATTTTAAAAATATTCTGTAATAAATATTGTCCACGTTTATATTAATTACTTCTTGAATGATGCACTCGCCGATATAGCAGTAGACGAACAACGTGCTCAGGATGATACTTGAGAATACGGTAAAGAGAAAAAGTTCGAGGAATTTACCACTGGATGAACGCTGAAATGATTAATTGTAAGAGTTTATTAGGATTTTTACTGTTTACTGATTCGTGTATTGTTGCTATTATCGATGAATAAAACGTACTACTATCGTGTTATAACCGGAAATGCACAAATTAAAAATCGTTCCAATGAGATGTTCTAGAATTGCCAGGTTAAAAGCATCCTCCAGGATATCTACCAAGCTGCGAAGAAATTCAAGTCCTCGTTCCCGAAACATATTCGAATAACATTGAGAAATAACAAGAAAAAGTTTACCTTATTAATCGATGATGTTTATCAATCAATTTTTTCATTCCGATTTGGCAACCATTCGGATCTTCCAAAGCTGATTTAACTCTGCTATTTAGTAAGCACAATTGTGCCGTTACATGGAGAGACAATGTAATGAAGAAACAATCGAAACCAACGGAACCGAACGTAATCAACGGTAATATAATAACTTGGTATAAACAATTAAGAATATAGGTAGTACTACCATTGATTTCTATGATAGGCCGTGTCTTATAAGGTAGATGATAACCAAAAGACGAATTATCCATAACTGCAAAAAATCTCGTTCGTCACATTTGCAGATGCGTTGCTAGAACTTTTTAAATGATCGATTCAAGCGTTGAAATTGTAAATGTTCCGAATAATTACCCATTTGCACGTTTGTTATCAATGACAGGGAGAAATAAATTATCGAGATAAAACCCATAGAAGATAATGCGGCTACAGTGAATAGAAAAGATAATCTATTGTAATTGAAGAATATCGACATTTCTTTGCGATTCTTGTAATTGTCAATTTTAAAATCATCTCTTATGTTTAGCAAAAATTGCGCCAACGAATCTTTATGCAGTCTGCAGATAGTGATTTTGATGAGAGTATTTAGCATAACCAAGTTTTCCGTAATGTTTGCAACAATAAGATCAAAGTTCTTCGAGTAATTAGTTAAATCCATGACTCCTAAAATACAATGAATTAACAAATACACAAAGGAACCAAGGAATATCGGATCGTGAACGTTCAAAGGCCATATTCCCACGACACTAAGGCATCTCCTGTTCCATGTTAAGACTTTTACAGTATCGGAAAGCTCTTCGAAATTCGCTATCTGAAATGAAACAATTGTTACTTCATATACGAACAAAACTCTGAAGGGAAACCACCAAGTTCCTTATAATTTCCTACTTCGATGTCCATTTCCATTTTATTCTCGCAAACGTTTATAATAGACTGATCATAAAATTGACCAATTTATTCTTGAGCCTAAGCTTTCCCTCGCCAAGATCCTTTTAATACTTTATTCGTAATACTTCTCCCTTGTATTAACGAGCTAGCCGTTGCTAAAAAACTCATCAGTTTGTTGCTTTATTCTTGCGAGAGCATAAGTTAATTATCCTTCATCGCAACTTGTTATTCACGGTAAATGGAGAAAAGGCATTTTTTTCAACTTGTTCAACTACTTTTTATTCTCGATATAACTTTGCCAACTTGTGCCTTTAGCGTTGAAAATCGATGGGTGGATTAAAGTTTGAAAAAGGCAACCTCTCTGACAACAATTTTCACATAACGTTACCATTTAAGGCCATACAACGGTTACGCGAACGATCCAGATATTAAGTTGGCTATCGAGTCGAGTTCTTAAAAAGAAAACCAATTCATTTATTCATTTATTTATAAACGTTAGGATAGAGAGAATATCTGTGCTATGTACAATATGTATTTCATATAAGTACGTTTTCGGGAATGTTAAGGTTTCTCCGAAATAACATACACAGACGCATTCAAAGATATATTACATAGAAAAGATATAATTCTAATGCAAATTGCTTGAATTCCGATCGATCGATCGATCGAAAACTTATATATTTCAATTTTTAGAAAATATTTGATCGAATGAAATATTTATTCTTTGACGTGATTAAAATCATCGTCGACGCGAGTACGCATTAAAAAGAGATTAACGTTTGTTTTATCGCGGTAGATATATTCTCATGAAAATATTTGTGTATATTTATATTAATTAAAAGTATCCCCCCCCCCCTCCATGTCAAAATGTTTCGGTAAATATTCATCGCATCTCCGTTAAAAATTCCAAGTAAATCAAATTATTTGGAGACTCAAGAGAATTGACGATCCTTGACGAGAGTGTAATTAAAAAAGAATAACATTCGTTGTGTCTTTAGAGATTGAAAGTTCCACAGGCCGGCAGACTATCAAAGTGAACACATAGAGACTCGTATAAAGTAATCAACTCGATCTACGAAATCGTACTGTCTTAGTTCTTTCGGAATGTGAATAAAGATTCTACAGACGTGACGATTAATCCGATCGCGGTAGATCGTATCGTAGAACCTTACGGAACATTTTAGTCGTCGTAGTTTTTTCCCTGCTGTACTTTAAACTTCATTTCGCGATAAAAATGTTGTGACCGAGCGGTGTTTGTACCTAATTAACTGCTTCTTACCGGTGGTCACGATCAAGTCGTTAAAGAAAAAATTCGTCTCGAGATAATCGTAAAGACAATTATAAAGAGTAACTTGAACTGTTACGGTACGAAGCTGCTTCCTCCGTAGGATAATACGTGTAACACTTGGCACTAGACGCGTCACCGAAAATATATGAGTCGACATTTTATTTTGTTGCTTTCAGGAACTCTGCTCGAATTTTCTCACTTGTCCAATTTGATGACGAAAGCCTCACCAGGTGGAACGTTAAGTTCCTTGAAGAAAACATCTTGTTTCAATCTATTTGCTGGTCCAACGACGACGTGACCACCATAATAAAGGGACGACAAATCCTTCGATTTTGACTCGTTGCCGAGATTGGCAACGAAAACGTACGAGTTTCTTCGAGGATACCAACGTTCTATCACGATAATCTCATCCTTCGTGTATCTGAGGAAATAATCAACTTAAGTTCTAACGAATTTTAATAGGATTCTATGAGAATTCCTAAATATGAAATTACCTAATATCACAGTTAGCTATGACTCCGTTATCTTTGGCAATAGCTTTAACGTAAATCGGCGGTGTGTCGGACCTCAATTTGGTCATTTCAGCTATCGTACCGATCAGACTCGTTTCCAAAGGTTTCGAAGCCTCGGGCAACCAGGCAGTGACCCCGATCGATGTAAATTTATCATCTAATCCGTCTTTCTTCTCCCAGTACATCGGTGCAAGATTATGCAAATGTTCCAAATCCTGATGATCTTCGCACTCGCAATCAATTATACCTTTCTAAATATAAAAATACTTAAGGATACTTTTAGCCTTTGAAATTAATTTATCTCGTTTTAATGAAACTTGTGTTTACCTCGTCTCCATAAAATATACTAGGTGTTCCAGGAAGCATCAAAGCCAAAAGAGAGACAGCCATCGAAGCGTTCTTGACGTTGATACTCGAAGCGATTCTTCTGAAATCAACGCCACCGATGGACCAGTGAACCCACGGGTAAGATGCTTTTTCGAAAAGTATACCTTTCGTAATACTTTCCACCTGCGCCTTTATATCCTCAGTTCCATTGGATACGCGTAAAGCGACGTCGATCAGATCTATCCTCGTAAGTATGGTGTTTCTCGATCTGTCGAAATGCATCGCAGCATTTAATGCATCCACGTGACAAATGAGTATCTTCCGAGGACCTAACAACGATTTCCAATATCTTAGAATACTTGGAAAGTTGTTTTCGTGAACGTAACGTTCGAGACCCTTCAAATAAAATCCATCGACCCCCCTACCAAGCCACGTTTTAATAGCCAAACTTATCGGATGATCGTTACCGATGAAATCCGAGGAAACTGGTAGAGCTCTTGGTTCTTCGAAGGGTGCTAAAGTACTGCTAACCATCGACAAAGTGTCTTGAACTTTTTGAATCGAGCCAGGAGGCGTTGTCAGGACTACATCTTCGAGTACCGAATTCTTTGGCAGAGCTCTTCTTTCGCGGATCGCTTTGTCCGTTTTATTCGGCTTAATCGTTGCCACTTCCTCACCTTCGAGGGTCTTTACGTACGGATAAAGCAGTAAATCCAGGATAATGCTCATGTTTCTACGATGTATCTCGTGTACCAGTTTTTCAAAATCCTTCAACGTACCGAGATTCACGTTAATGTCTGTCATGTTGCTAACGTCCGAATAATATTCCGGATAGTGCGGCGCTGGGAAGATCGAATTCAAACGAATTCCACGAATGCCGAGTCTCTTGAGATAATCCAGGCGCATAGTAATGCCACGTAAATCACCGATACCGTCGCCGCCCTTCGAGGAATCTTGAAAGGAAGCTGGAAAGATCTCGTAGAAAACGTTGCCTTGCCACCATTCTACCGAAGGATCGCATCTAAAAATTTAGAAACGATCAAAATCGTCGAATTCAGCTGGATAATTAATTGTATTATACCTGGATGATGAGATAAATCCTACCTTTTGGGCATCGTCGCGAGGACACCTATGACAAGAGCGGTGCATCCAGCCAAAACCGACATCAACGACCAAAAACAAGTCTTTCTTATCAGAGGCCAGTTCCATTTCATAAATCGATAATCTTTCGGTGATTTGGGGACGACCAGTTGTATCCCAACGAGCGGTGGCTTCCCACCATTCTCCTGATTGTAAAACTGTAGAGTTATGGCGTGAGTATACTTTTTGATTTGTTAGAAAGCGATAAGCACTTGGTTATTAGTAGACGAAACATAAAAGTCGGATTCATAAATTGATACGAATTCGTAATTAAGCCGTATATACATTGCTTTGCGTTTCATACCAAGATGCTATCGAAACGTGTTTTCATTCGCAAAATTTGGTTGCTTAATAATAAAAAGAGAGAGGTAGAGAAAGAGACATTGATAATTGAGGCATCGCGACGACGTCCTTTCTTTCATTTCGCAAGCGAGCATTACATCCTTGGCAAATATTCAATATAATTTGGCCTATATCTCGATACGATGCGATGTGTTCCTTTACCGAATTGGCGTCCCGACGGTGTCGTTCAAAGATCTTTCTTCTCGGTCTTTTAAATGGCCGTTAACGGTATCGTTGATCTTGCCAATGTCCACCACCATATTCCTTCAATCGTCGTAAATTTATTCTACAGTCTTTCCTATTTTATTAATAAATCCTGTCACGAGCTCGAATGATCCACAGCATTATTATATTAATAGACAACACGGCATATGACCACCGCTTGTGTCACATCTTTCCACCAAGATTTTTCTATCCCCGGTCATGAGGTCGAGGAAGGCAAGACACAGAGCGACCAATGGGGAAAATAATAAGCAGGTGATCGGCCAAGGCTCGAGTTACAAGTGTCAATCGCAACGTGTGCGCGTACAAGCAAACAATTTATAAATAACGCTAGACCGGTGTGTACCAAACGCGTCTATCTATCTGCGTTTATCTATCTGCGTCTAGCTGCGATTCATTATCGTTTTATTGGCGTGCAAGTGATAGGACGCATATACGATACGTATGCATAAGTGTAAGTACAACGCGTCGATGATTTATCAGCTGATTCTCTAACTAAACATTCCTATTTATTCGTCTCTAACCTGTTGCAAATCCATTTCATATATATATATTGTATCTTTTATTTAAATAACTTTCCAATTTTGATATTAGTCGTTCAGCAAGTAGCATTGATTTCCAATCGCCGCCATCCCTTTTCTATAAAATGTTTTTTTTCTTTATCCCTCTCCGTCGTATTGTCAAATTTGTCATCCTACTATAATTGTTTCATACCAAACGACGGCTGACGGCTTTGTTAATAATTGGAAACGCATCTTGCTCGTCCAGACAAAAGTCGACTAAAAAGGAGGAAAAAAAGCAGGGAAAAAAGAGCCCAACGTATAACTCGGAAAATAAAAATGAGAACGTGTTTCTACGTGGGGTGTCCCCCAAACTTCACGAGTCGAATGAATAATTTCACTGGACGTAATCCAATATACATACCAATAACGTAGATTCCATTGTACATGAATGAAATAGATTCGATATTCGATGATGATAAACCGCGAATATTAAGAATTTAAAAAGAAAAATTGTCGGGTTTGCGATGGCACACCTCGAGTTTCGACACTCGAGGAAACTCGATGCGATAAGTAACTCGATTGCCGACGACACTTTAATCACTTTAATTAAATACTTACTAGAGCTTGTGCGTCTGGTGCTAAATGTTGATAAGCGGTATTCAGCTGTGTAAGTAATTGAGCGCAAACCGGCTCGTTCGTATCGCTGCTGCTACCGCTTGTGCTCGATTCCACCATCGGATCGCGCGAACTCGGCTCTAAAAATCGTTCAAATTGAATAATTTTATCAAATAAGGATTTACAAGACACAATACTATTTTTAATCCTACAATTATAAATGAAATAATAATGCTGCCGTAATTGTACTCGTACGTTTATCATCAACGCAATTAGTTTTAATTCGTTCTTATTAATTTCAATTTATTTCAATGAATTTGTTTTCTTTTTCTCTGGGTAGGAACTACGAGAGCGGTAGAACAAGTTCGTCAAGATAAATCGCGATATAAATTGAAACTGGATCCTGGTGACCAGGCGCCTTGTTGCGTTCTATGCGTTTATGACTACAACGATGACGACCACGAATGATTACGTAAGATATTTAGAGCCGCGCGACGACCATGTCAACAACAATGCAGTCGAGTCACGAGAATCAATTCTTCTTTCCTTTCCTTTCCTTTCCTTTCCTTTCTTTTCTTTTTACCGACTAAATCATTCGAGTAACATGCCTCCCTTTTTTTCCTCGCATTAATCGAATCGCGTCTACGATTCATGCAACGAACGATTTCACCTAGCAAAAAACAAATCTACTACACGTGTCTCCATTTTTTTTTGGCGCTTTGCAGAGAAAGATAGATAAATGGGGAAAATAATAAAAACATGTATGGATTGTAGGCCTTTACCACGGTACATACCATCGTGGAGAGGTTTGCACGAACTGTTAACGAGATTCATAAACGCATTAAGTCCATCCTCCTCATTTATGTTCTCGAGCGTTGGCGTTGTTATCATCTCCAAAGGTACTCCTTCTAGAGGCCTGTATATCGGGGCCGATTCGAGGGAATTATTAATCTGCACGGCCGGAGGTGGACTCGGCGTCAAAAGCGGACAATCCGAAGCTTCCTCGTCCTATTATTAATATTAGTTGAGATTTCAGATTTTGCAGAAAGGTACGAAAGAAGAAACGTGACTTAAGGGTGAACCAGAGATAATAAGGCGCTATCTATGTCATACAAACACACACCTGTTGGTCCTGATTTATAAAGAGTTGTTGCGAACTGGCAGATGATGGAATTTCGGAAGGTAGGACCACAGACAGGAGGCCGTCGCTTTTCGGAATATTCATCTCTATTATTGGCTTGGATCCTTTATTTCTTCTATGAACGAAATAAGTGATTAAACATATAGATATAGTTTGACGCGTGCGGCGAACAAGCAAACATTTTTATTTTCCTTTGACGAGATTTAAAACGTTGACCGAGACTCTTCCTTATCGATTCGCGGCCCTTGTCGTCCTAAGCATTTAAGCTTTCAAAACTTTCGTCCCTTCCAAAGTCGAACTCGCGCGTGTTAACTGTGTGTTTTACTACGAAAATATGCAAGCCATTTGAGAATAAAAAATATAATTATTACTTCGGTACTATTTGCTATGTCATCATTCTCTTTAAGTATACACGTATCTTGACTTTTAAACGTTAGTCCATACGCATCATTATGCATACGTTTAACGTTGAATAGCAAAAAAAAGAAAAAAAAAAGAAAAAATAGGTGGAACTAACCCATCGGAGACTACGCAATCGTTTATTCTTCGCGCTCGATACTTGCAACGTATGACAAAATATTAAGGCAACGTTCCTTATTACTTTCTTTTTCTATTATGCGTATATTCGTGTATCTTATTATTTTTTTAAGCGTTTCAAATATTCCGTTCCGTTACAGGGACGAATCAATTTCGCGCAAAGATACTTCGATGATTACTTATCGCATGATCGCATCTCATTCATCATTATATTACTATTCTATCGATCGTGTTGTGATTTGGAGTTTGTTGCGCCGCGTTCAACGAGCTCGTACTATGTAAGTATTACTTATGCATCTTGTAATAATGCCAAAAGAACAATGCCTGTTCGAAACGAATTTAACATGTTAACTCGTCAACAAACTGATTACTACGAATATACCTCGTACTATATGTACATAAATTCCTACGTGTGTGTGTTCGTAGAAATGAAACGTTCGAAGACAGGCTCGATAAATTATCCGTCAGCTTAGAGAATTGTTTCAATTTTGCGTCAAACAATTTCATTTTCTACCTCCCACGCGAAATGACGATTTATACGTTATATACGATCGATAGATAAGTGTCATTCAATTGCCTTCTTCACCGCCATTAATTTGACTAAACTAGATGAAAGAAAAATTGCCAAAAATAATTGCACCGGACCCCAAAATGGATATGATGGTGGTACGTTTTACATTACCGGGCCAATCGATGACACTCTAAAACTAACGCGAGAAATTAATTACGAAAGAGTATAGCGCGTGATTTTCGTCTATAGGATATTGAATTAAATAAAAAAAAAGTCGCACGGGGCAACGATGACGAAAAAAAGATACGTGCTTCTATTTTCTATGATTAGACACGAGACCGAGGAAAATTCAGCGGTGTTAGCTGCTTACTCGTGTTGACGAACGGTTGATCACGCGCGTGCACCCACCCACCCGCTCGCATATATATATAAATACGTACACAGAAGAAAAATGCGTTCGTGGTACTTTTACCCCCTTGCAATCGAATGCGAGAGAGAGAGAGAGAGAGGGAGAGAAAGAGAAAGAGATGGAGAAATAATTCACCACCGGTTTTCTCTAACTTTGGCGAATCTCGTACGAGAACGACGAACTGACGAACGTGTCCGTAAAGGTCCGGGCAAGGAGCCCCGTGAACGAACGATACAGTTTCGCGGACTTTTTCGACGAACCGTCCGCTCGGTCCTGGAAACCGCGTGCCTCGACGTATTATATTTAGCAACACGATTTCTCCTCTCGTTTCTCTAACCCGACGTCCGCGCCCTCCTCGATTCTGCGCTCTAAGCCATTTACCGCTCAGCCAACGAAACTCGACAGCGAAAACGATCGTCGTTTCTTTTTCCATCCCTTCTCATGCGCTTCTCGATCCTAAATATTATCGCTTTGCTGTCATCGCATTCAAGTTTTCCTTATATTTTGCATAAGCAAGTATTCGAGGAATACGATCTATATGTATATAATATGTGTGTGTGACTATCTAAATTCACTGCTAATGTAAAAGAATACAGAATTACATAAAAGCTCATAAATCTCCTTTTTTATCCACCTAGTTTCATTATAGTTACTACCGGGACCACCAGCAGGCGATAGTAGATACTTAACGCTATGATTGTACAATACTATCAAAGAATACTCTAAGTCTTAATAGACTTTTAAATAATTATAATTAATTTTTAATGTATAAATTTTTATATATGTGTGCCTTCAGAAATGCATTTATATATAGATTTTAAAAAATGGTTATTTAGGACGTTCAACTAGACGAAAATCTCTAAGATTTGTTGTTAAATCTGACGAATTAAAATACCTGTGTACGTGTGAGAAGACTGCATTCATAAAATGCAGAGTATGTCGCAAATAAATTATATTTCGCGTGTATGTACGATGAATATTTTCATTTTGATGTAATTATTTTAATGTATTTTCCTGTAATATAAGTAAAATGTGTTAGTGCATTGAAATAATTGTTAATTAATCGTTGCAAATGTCTATCGTAGTATAAAAGCTCGGAGTATATGTTCTGTGATCCGTTCTCCTCGAAATCCACCGTTGAAATGAGTTATTGTTCTTAGTTAAAGTTCTCTTTTGGAGAAAGTTGTTTGCAGGACCTTCCGAATGTTGCGCATGTGTATAAAGGAGATAATGCACCTAATTACTAAGATTTAAGATTATAAAACTGATTTTAGCATTTTTTTCATTTAAATGTTATTATTTTAGTGTTCCTGCGCAGTGATGACTTCGGGGGTAAAATACTAAGTCATCACTGCGCAGGAGCATTAAAATAATTACATCAAAATGAAAATATTCACCGTACATACATGCGAAATATAATTTATTTGCGACATACCCTGCATTTTATGAATGCAGTCTTCTCACACGTGCACGGGTATTTAATCGTTATCAAAGAATACTGTATTCTCTGATTGTATTGTACTGTCGTCGCGTTAAGTACTTACTATTGCTCACTGGTGATCCAGATAGAAACAAAAATGAATCTAATTAGGAAAAAAGTGGACTTTTGAACTTCTTTGTACTTCTGTATTCTTTAGCCAATATAAAGTAGCAAATATGATAGGAACTATTTGTTGGTAACGTAGATAATTTCTAATAATCCTCCTTCATATTGTTACGCTAGATGCCACTAAACAGTCGTTTTAGGAATACTTTAGTTATGGCTTCCAACTACTCGATGACGACGCTTGTACTATTAACGATTGTTTTTTTAAATCAGCCTAATTTTTAATATTTTTATTGGAAATCCGGTTTCCCCGGAACATTTGCAACAAATCCTAAATCTATTAAAAGATTGATCCATTTTGTAAACATTAAAAATATCTTCTTTTTGCAGACATTATCCAAAAATAATATTATTTGCAGCACATGTTATGTGTGATGTAATCGATGCATTTATAATAAAGTTGAAAAGAGATAATTTAAGCTGTTTTGTGCATAAATTTCGATGAACGTACGAACGAACGAACGTTCTTTCTACTTATATACATTTGTTCAAAATATGTCCTATTCATTGTCTTCCACAATATTTGTTAGTTGTAACAAAAGCGCGTATACTCGTCATAACTAACTTAATGCAATCTATCACGTAGCCGATTAGTCTCGACTAATTGTAGCGAAGCTAAGAATGAACGAAGAACGCGTTTCACATATTTTACTCATCATGTTTCAAGTGTTTCATTCTCGAACATCCATGAGATCAGCATGCATTTTTGAGCATTATGAATCTGTGAATGTCTAGAAGAAGTAGGAGAGAAGAGTGACGAGTTCTTTCTCCGAATCCAAACTTATCCTTCGTGAAGAACCCCAACTAATGATCGATTCATGTCTTTCTTTATAACAATGCTTTCAGCGAACAGACAATGGAATGTTCTTTTTTCCGTTCATTTAAAAATCCCGCGCTTGTAATAGAAAGGAAACTTACCAATCATTTTCAAGAGTCATCGGCAAAGGAGGGAGAGAAAGAAAATATAAAAGAAAGAAAAATACGCATATATTATACAAAAATAATAGCTATAATCGATAAGGAATTTCTAGGAATAACCGAAAAGCTATTAGAGCGATTAATCTTTTTATTGTGTTGTCCAACTTGGATAATTCTCGCGAAGCTTCGCGCGCATTTATGCCTCGCCCTAATCACGCTCCTTCCACTTACCGGTTTCCTTCATTCGTGTTCGGAGGAAAGAGGAAGAAAGATTACGCTTATACATATATACTTGTACACATAAGTGTGAGAAAAAGAGAAAAGTGTAGAGCGACACGCGAGGTTTCACTTCGTTCCATCATAGAACGCGGTCGGTCAGTCTATTCCGAAAACTTAGCTGCTTCGAACGTACTTTTACAAAGGAACAATACTACCTAAAAAAATAGCAAGATGGTGAAATCCGTTGAACACGTTGAAAGCTCCGTAAGTACTTTTAATATATCATTTATTATTTTTCGCATTTTCGCGCGAAAGAAGGAAAGAACGTGGTATATGGGCGGCAGGTAATGGCATAACCTTGGAAAAACGAAAAAAGCGGATGCATCTCATCGAGGCGGCAATGGTGACATACTTTAGCATGATTATATCATGCTTTTACGTGGCAGGAACTGGCCTTCGATCGATCGATCTTCAAAATGAGAAAAAACATGTCGTTCTGATATATTCAATTTACCCGCAAACATGTGCAAACCAACTCGATTTTATCCAATGCATTTCTTTCGTTATTCCTCCTCAAACGCTAATAATGTAATCAATAATTATGCACGTTGACTAGGGACTCCCCACGATGACTAGTAGTATTAACGTAATATTACGTATCTATGTCGCAAGAGATTTAATCGAGATTGTTTTATGATATCATCATTGTTACTTGCTGCCACCTATTTTCCTTCCTAATTCGATCTCAATGCTATCTGGTGAAATTATTTATCGAGATCTTTTAAAAACCGCATGATCACAACAAAGCGAGACTTTTAACACAAATATAAATTATTTGAATTGAAGATATTAATTTATCAAGTGTTTGATAACTTATCGCAAACTGATTTCTATTCAATTTATCCCTTTAGCCCTATGTACACCCACTCGTTTATTTAGATAAAAAGTATTATTTGTTTTATACTTGCAGGCAGATTTGGATGCAAAATTGGAAAAGGCTGGCAAAACTTTAGTTGTAATCGATTTTTACGCGACATGGTGCGGTCCTTGCAAAATAATCGGACCGAAGATCGAGGAATTAGCCGAGGTACATTAATTTAACCGATAGGAAATTATTTTCCGTCTCTAGCAAATGACGTACAATAAGTGTTCATTGGTTCTAGGAAAGAGAGGACGTCATTTTCCTTAAAGTCGATGTCGAGGAATGTGAAGATATAGTTAGCAAGTACGAAATAACCAACATGCCTACTTTCGTTTTTATCAAAGAAGGCAAAGTGGTACGTATAAATTTATAAAATATATTGTTTCATTTATATTAAGCACGATTACAGAATCTATGTAACATTCCTTGTACCAAACGTATTATTAATAATTATTAACCCTTTGCGGCGGACGATCAACGACGCGTAATATAATTAAAAAGCTGCTCTGAGTTCGAACCCATATTCGTATCATTTCCTCCGCAAACGGTTAATGTAGTTCGAATGAAATATTACAATGTATTATTACTGTACTTTTCAATATTCTTTGTTCTAGTTGGAAAAATTCTCTGGTGCTAATTACGATTTGTTGTTAAGCACGATCCAAACTCACAAATAGATAAAAACGAATGGTTCGATGTGTTGTATTTTTAAGCTAAATAATCTATCGCATAACAATAATATGCACGCACGAGTCACACAAATATTATATCGTAATCTGAATACTATATATATTTATATATATATGTATATATATATATAGTCTTCTTTTCTATTAATTCAAATGCAATGGTATAACATCTCAACAAAATTTTCTCCGTAACACGTTATATCTTTTACCCATTTGTATATCTATTTTGCGAAATAAAGTGTACTCGGCTTACAATATGTACAAATTAAGCATGGTTTTTATGAACCTTCATAGGCAAAACTTATTTGCTGTAATATTAGAAAAATGTTTATATTCTTTATACAACATTTACATTACTCGCGTCAAATATTACGCGATTAATTTAGTCAGCTTACAAGATAGATTCCATTAAATGGCAATAAAAAGGTTTCTTTCATGAGTTAAGTAACGTTAAATGTATTGAAATATTTTTAATGTATTTTTGCTAATAAAGAAAATGCACCTGTACCCGACTTACATGGTTGTCCAAGCATCAATCGACTGGATGGCGAATTTAAATCATCTTTTTTTCCTGAAAATTAAAACGCAAGATCATTTATAATATTTCTTTGTAATCGAATAAAGAAAGAAAGAAAAAAAGAAGATGAGTTATCACCTTGCAACGTAGCATTTCGCAAAAAGTTTAGAGAACTTTCGAAACTCATTTGTTGAAAAGGAGAGGCAGAATCGTCCATTCCTTTGCGACTAAGAGGTTTAAATGAACCATCAAACGTCATGTAATCGGCAATTAGAGACAAATGTCTAAAGTCTACCGTTATTCCATACATTTTAAATACATCTTTAACTTCTCTTATTATTACTTTATTAGCAGCTTCGATGCCATAAGTTTGCGAAATTCCGTAAATGTCGTTAGAATATAATCTAGATAAATCTAAAATTTCATTGTACTTGAACATTTCCTAGAAACAAAAAAGAGACGAAATCAAGCATGCGTTAGGATATATCCTATAATATATCTATTTTTTTCTTTTCTTTTTATTTTTCGTCGTAAACGATTACTTACTATTATATTTAATCCATCAGTTTTAAGAATAGTTTCTCCATCGGAACCTTCAATAGTAAATGCTTTCCTTATATTAGGAGTTTCCCAGAGAGTGACTTTACTTGCTGCTTTTCTAATAATTGTCGGCAGATCTATCTTGATCATCCTAAGTGGCAACTGTAATGCAAAATGTCTAATTTTAGTAATACGAAACGTATACTATTAACATATATATATATATTATAATGACAGTATAAATTATTAACCCAAAATTTGAATGTGCACCATAGCGATTTGACTTGGTCGTATTCGTATTCCAGTGCATACAAATACGTTTTCAATACATTTTGACGTCTCTTTTGTGTATCTTTCGCATCACTATTTTGATATTCTAAACTCTCGTCATCTTCTTCTCGTTCTTCCACCTTGCTATCTTCGTTCCTCGTTTCATCGGGTTTCATTTCTACGAAATCATTATCGTCATCTTTTTCATTACCATTTTCTACTTCATCTTCCGTATCTTCCTCATACTCTTGATTTTCTTGGTGTCGGGACATCGTTCGTCTGACCGTAGCATCTGCATCTTCCGCAACTTCTTCCTCGTCGGACGATTCGTGTTGTTCTCCAAAATCTCTCTTAACAGTTGCCTTAGGTTCCTTTGGCTCATCTTCAGGCTCATCTTCGTCTAATAAAGCATCTTCGTTGTTTCCTTGTTTCTTTTCTTCTTCGACGTGTATTAGATTACCAGTTAATTTAGTCTTTTTTATTTCTTTAAACAATGCTTTAAAAAACATTTGTTCGGTTTTGTCAATAATACTTTTTGGATTAACGCAAAATTCGCTTTTGTAATATTTATGAGGTAGAAATTCAATGTGTAACGTATGAACGAGTCGTCTATGCGGTAACTGTTCCATTTCTCTGTCAATTCTAATACTTTCCAAAACATCAGTCAATATACATTTCGTCAATTTTTGACGTAATTTATTAGACTGTTTGCTGAGATTGTGCAAATCCCTTTTGAAAGGAATTTCCATAGAGGGAGTTTTGATAACTTTCGAAGCCATCATCAAAATTTCACGTAATCGCGGAATACCCAAGGTAACATTCATTTCACTACGTCCTGAATGGTGAAATGTATTTAGCGTCATTTGAGTGGATGGTTCTCCTATGGATTGTGCCGCTAGCAAGCCAACTGGTTCACCCGGTGGGCATACAGATTTCATTACTTTCATCCACAAAAGATCTCTCAATTCGTTCTTTTCGATTTTTCCGTTAGATCCAGAAGATTTATTCGACATATATTCGTCCATTAAGCTTTCCAATCTTTCCGAAAGTACCCCAAATTCTGTATCTTGTCTGAATTTGGAAATTAAAGGGTCTGGACATCTGACGCACTGCTTTTTATATGATTTTTTCGTTTCTTCGTCCATCCTTATCCATTTTCTTAACAACGACAGAGTTCCTTTACTTCTTCCACTATTTCCATCGATACGTTTCGATTTCGAGCTATTAGGATTATAGTTTTCTCCGGAAAATATGAAAAATTCATTTCTTCTCTTTGTGTTCAACGAATTGCCATGCTTTTTTGACCATTTTTTAATTTTCTTTACAGACTTTAAAGTAGATTCATAATTGGAATCTTGTTTTAAATTTCTTACCAGATTTGGATCGACAATAACGTTTTTATTATCTACTAAGAAGTCCATTTGATTTTTTTTTAAAAACGTTGAGGCTGGTACGTCGAGACCATCCTCGCCATAATAAATTTGAATCAAGCTACCATCGGAATCTCTAACGGTAGAATCATAATTGACAACTAAACCTTCTAAATGCTTTATAAGACATCTTTGCAGATACCCAGATCTGCTAGTCTTGACTGCAGTATCGATCAAGCCTTCTCTACCGGCCATACAATGAAAAAAAAACTCTTGTGGACGTATCCCTGTCATAAAACGGCCATCAATGAATCCTCCTGCTCTTGGTGTTGGATCATAGGCAGGAAAACTTGGTAAACTTTTTCCACTTATCATTAACGGCGGTCTTTTACCTTCCAGTTCTATTTGCCCGAGCAAACACGAAATTTGCATAGTATTTACCATAGATCCTTTGGCTCCGGATTGTACCATTAATTGTAAATTATTGTGGGGAAACTTTTTCAAAAGCCCTGCTGGTAGGCACGTTTTGTTAATATTATTAGTGTAGACGTCTAATACATGCTTATATTTTCGGTCGACTTGAGTACGAAATTTAGGCTCAGCCCAATAAGATTCTTCTATTTTAGACGATAATACGTCCGAAGGCGTATCAGCCGGCATTTCCAATAGACTCTTTTGTATATCTTCTCCCAACGTTCTACTTTCCGAGATAATTTCTTTACGTTTCATATCTGCTTTTGGTACGACTAAAATATCTTCTATACCAAGAGTAAAACCTTCTCGTTGTAAAAATGCTTGGAAAAGTTTGCCAAATGCGCTTAGCAATTTACTAGAATACGATCCTCCGTATAATTCGTAAACGCAATGTACCAGACCATATGGTGTTGCACCATAATGCATTTTGTCAAGTACGCCACATAAAAGTTCGCCATTCCTTATAATAACTTCTGCTTCTGACATTTGTTCAGGACTTGTAAATTCGGTACCGCATTTCCACTGGCGAGCTTTATTAGTTTGCCATTGTTTAACATTAATCTTTGCTGTGGAATTTAAATTAATCCTTGCAGTATTCGGGGGAATAATATTAATAAGAACAGTTGATATTATTTGCTTTCCTGACCATAATGGGATAGGTTTCAAAATGCTAGGTGGTAACAATTTCAAATCTCCTTTATGTCCCACCAATCCGCAATAAACTAATTGCATGTAATCGGTTCGATTAAAGAACTGACCTCTCATCGTTAAACGAACCCCAGAAATTACGTGATCTTGTATAAGCCCACTCAAAGGAGTACCATCTTTTGGTACAAGATATTGATTAGATACATTTGCGATAAAGTACCCTTCGCTTCTTGCGAGTTCATTTTGTGGATAATGCGCATTCATTTCGTCGCCATCAAAATCTGCATTAAAACTTTTACAATTAGCGTAATGAAGACGCAACGTTTTTTCCCCTTTTAAAATGCGTGCCTTGTGAGCCATTATACTAGATTTATGTAATGTTGGTTGGCGATTGATCAAAAGTATATCACCATTTTGAAGATGTCTATGAACGACTTTAATACCCTTAAAAAACCGATTAGCTTTATCGCTGCTCGGCAAAAGACGTTTTGCGACAGCTTCTCTTTTAGTTGCGTCGATAGGACTAAGGCGTTGAACAGATCCATCTTCGTTTTCTATTATAACTGCTCCTGGATGAACATTTGGTCCATTTAAAACCAACTTTCGCAATTCCAATACATTCCAGGGTGTTACGGGAATAGGATAAGTCAATTTAAGTGCAAAAATTTCCGGAACACCGATTTCATCGATATCTAAGTTTGGGTCGGGTGTAATAACGGTACGTGCCGCGTAGTTAACTCTTTTCCCCATCATGTGCATTCTTATGATACCTTCCTTTTTTTCAATAACTTGTTTCAGTCCAAGACAATTTGCGGAATCTGGAGTTCTATTTAATTCTCTATCCATTAAGTGATCTACATTTGTTTGTAACATTTGCCACGCATAGTGTAGCTTTTCTACAGCCGTACTACCTTTTATTTGATCAAAAACCATTTTTCCTTCTTCTGGAAGTTGATTAGTGTTACCATTTTGAATATACTGTATGATATTCCGAAGAATAAGACAGTCTTGTATGATACTTTTGTATACTTGACTCTGAGGATGTTCGATCATTTGTCCATGAAGAAAGTTTATGGGTCTTACTATGGGTGGCAAAACCGGTATGACATCATAAAAAAATACATCTGTCGCATACTCTGCTTTGACGTTATTTAAACAAGGAATAATTATTTTAATAAAATCTTCCTCATTTTGCCATAACTTTCTCAAGTATTCTTTTGACTGATCGGGCATTATAATGACAGTTTCCAATTTATGAACTACCATACTCGACATCATATTTGTTGATGTAAAATTGGCATCGCTGGTTTTAGTGGTCATAATTTTATTTTTTAAAACTGTTATTTTAGGTATAGCTTCCTGACAGTTGATGCAAATTTTTCCAACGGTGTATTTTTTTAGTATGCTATCAATGTACATATGCCGCTGAGCATTAATATTTTTTGTATTCAGCACAGTTCTGTTGGATTGAGCGTTGGGTATATATTTTGTTTTATTAATGAGATTGCGTATATAAGTTTCTATTATATCTTGAATATATACCAGATCGGATTCAGGTATATCTTGTGACTTTGATGTAACAGAATTTATTTCTTCTTCCAAACTATCTATGTCGCTGAGTAAGCCCATTTCTAGGATCTTTAGTTTTGCGCATAGCAACATCTTTATATGCGTTGGGATTTGTAAAGTAAAACAGTTCAGACAAGATAACTTAATCAACAAAAATAATGCTTTATGGAATAATGGATTAACAGTGGGCATTGGTAATTCTATATGACCAAAATGACCAGGACATTTGTATACCGTAGAACCACATGTTGCACAAGGATCTGAACTTTCAAGCAAAGGTCCTGTAATTAGATAAACGTTAATGTAGTTACAGATTAAATAGAATGTTTTTAATACTACAATTATGTGATATAAGTAAATGATATAGACTTAAAGAATGTGAAATTACCTAGTGCTGGATCATATAAACCACCTTTCAACGGGTGGCCCAATATATTGAATGACAGAGGAGTTCTAATTTTCATAACACTCAACTTTTCTATATCTTCTGTTGTAAAAACTGAAAATGTTAAACATTTTGGATCCAAGTGTTTTGGAGTCAAACGTTTTTCCTGATATTTCTGCATTTTAAGGAAGATTTTTTAAAGGTTATAAAACTTTGTTTTCATCTAGCACATGGCTTGACTCTAATCTAAATAACTCATGCACTCGTGACGCAAATGTAAGTCGATTATGTATAGTGTACGATATATCGATTGCTTATATGTCGATAGCTTACGATATATCGATAAGTTATAGTGACTTTATTGCATGAACACGGATGACAGGTGCAACAAATATTTTTGTATTGTTATCATTGATACAAGTACGATCATTGATAATTTAGTGATTTGTCGACGGATTTCTACTTTTGTCAGTATTTTTCTTATTTAGAGGAATATTTCAATATGTTTGGTAAAAAGAAAGAGCCAAAGAGGCAATCCAGGTCTGGAAATCTTGAACAGGTAAATCTCACTAATAATACATATTAGCATATACCTATTCATAATACACTTTTCATATTTCACTTGACTTTTATTAATAATACTATTTTTATTTGAAGTATGGAATATTCCAAGTACCTGATCATTTTGACGACCTTGGAGCTTCTGTAGAAGATGAAGATGACGAAGATTTGGAAGCAGAATTGGCTGCCTTAACAAATAACAGTAATGTAATGCGAAAACAAAAGCCTAAAAGTAAGATTCAATATTCCTTTATTGTTCATATTAACATTTGACGTCCGGGCGTTTCGAAAAAATTTCTTCGCTTGGCGCCGGCAGCGCTATTTCGGATTACTTAGTGTACGCCCGGCCGTATTCTAACTGCATGTCGCCGGGTGTAGAACTACGCTTTGTGCATGGCACAACTGTGGGGCCACTGGCCGTTGAGCAACACTTCGCGGTATGACACCATTGTGGTGTCGCCGGACGTCATAATGTTAATTTTGAACCGTCAATGTAATTTATATCAATGTACTTATTATCATAATAGTTCAGAGGGTAGATTCATCCGAACTAAACGCAATGGTATCTGAAAGTATAAAAGATATAGATGAGGATGTATCCGATGGGGAAGATGATCCAGATTTATTGGTATGTACAATTACATACAACTTTTACCACTTTAATATATAATTGTTGTTTAAATATATGTTTTATTCGCACAATTATGTGCAAGAACTTTTTCGCAACAGGAAGAACTCAATATGATTACCAAGAATGAGGCTACTTTGTCGGACGAAGAAGTACATCCTGAAGAAGAAATTTCTGAAAATAATCTTGACAAGGCAAATGATAGTCCTATAGACGATAAATTACAATTACTGCAAGATAGACTAACTCTTTATCAAAAAGCTGAGAAGAAAGCAAAACAACAAAATGAAACTAGTAAAGCTAGGAGATTTGGTAGAGGAGTTAAGACGTTGCAACAGCTTTTAAAGGACGCTCAGTCAGGTATTGCTATAAATGAAGCTGATGTTCCACCTCCTTTACCTCCTTCAGCTACTTCTGAATCCACAGAACAACCTACAGGTATTATTTGACTTATTAGTATATTGTCTACCTTTAAAGAATCTACCAATTTTTATTTCTACATCTATTATAGACAACGATGTATCCTCTAAAATGCCAGAAGAGAATCCTTCCCCGCCTAGTCTTGAACATGATGCCGATTCAGAATCTGCTCCAGCTGAACCAGCTGCTCCAGTTGTTCAAATCGATCAGGAAGCATTAACTTTGTTAAAGAAACGACAGCAGGAATATAAGGTTGCTGCACTTGCATGGAAAAAAGCTGGTAATATGCAAGAGGCTATGCAATATGTAAAAATTGCTAAACAATTTGATATAGTTGTTGCGGCAATTAATGCTGGAGAAGCGATTGATTTATCCGATATGCCACCTACGCCAATTGGGCCTTCTGCATCAGCTGTAGATCCTGCATCACGATCGGTTGAAAAAGAAGACGTAGAAATTCAACAACATGCCGAACCAGATACACCGGCTGCAAATAAAATGGATGATGGGGTATTGGAACAAAGATATGGAATAGAAGATATAGAAAGCGCTCTCAAAGAGCGTCTTGAAGTATACAAACGAACGAAAGCAGCAGCAGAAACCGAAGGAAATTCTTCTAAAGCTCGAAGATATGGTCGTATTTGCAAGCAGTTCGAGGAAGCACTTAAAAATCACGCACGCGGAAGACCCGTGCCTCTAGATGAACTTCCTACTCCACCAGGATTTTCACCACTTTCTACAAGTACTCAGTCTGCTGGTGTGCCTGTGACAGAAGGAGAGAAAGAAGATGACAAATCTAAATTAGAATCTAATTCGGAAGGAACATCCGGAATAGGTGTGCCAAGTCCACCTCCGAGAAGAAATCAAGGTATTTGTCTATAATTATATTTAATTGTTTGCTTTTAAGTATTTACGCGGAAAACGAGCACCTCCATTGAAAATAAATAGACATTCGCGAAGAGGTTTACCGAAAGGCTCTGGATAAAGATCCGGGTTCGAGTTCCGGTCCAGTCAACCATACGGCCAATTTCTTCACGAATTCTACACACTTATAACAAGAACTCGAAGATTTCTTTTTCTCTTCCTTAATGTTTAATTATTATTATATATATTTCTTCTTTCAAGTAGTAAATAAAAATCAAAAGCACGCTACTACACGGGCAGATAAACAGATGATACAGTTGCAGCAACGTCAACACGAATTAAAACAGGCCGCGTTAAAAGCTAAAAAAGATGGAGATTTAGAATTGGCGCGCGATTATTTAAGACAAGCGAAAGGAATACAGCCATTGATTCAAGCTAGTATAGCTGGTTTACCAGTTGATATGAATTCTATACCTTTGTCACCGGTTGCTAAAATGGAACTTAGTGCGCACGGTTTAACGGGTCAAACAGATGAAAATTTTCAATTGGTCAATAGCGAAGACTGTTTGGAGGAATCTGGTGGAAGCGATGAACAAATTTACGATAACTTGGAGAATCAATTAATTAAACAAATAAAAGTATTATATTGAATTCCTATTCCAATGAATATATTGGAAAATATAATCGAAATTGAAATATTTATATGTTTTTATTTAAGTGGTGCCTTTCTACGAGAGATCATTCGAAACAATTGGGAGACGTTCCGGGATATAACAGATGGGAACGACTCGCCCTAGGATATACCCGAGATTTGGATATGTTACGCGTTAGAAGACGCGATTCCTTACCGCCTCCGTTGCATCATTATGAAACTAAAACTTATGCGATAGTTCAGTTAGTACGAGAAATGAGTTTTCATTCTTAGAAAACTATAACACCTAAAATATAACATTTGATTTACTTTCTAGGAGTTGTACAGACTTGAACGATAGCGATATTGAGATATCGATAATCAGAGGTATCAATTACGCACGGGAAGCAGATACTTATGTTATGTTTGAGTTTCCTTATCCTTCGGACAATCCCCCTGCAGATAGAACATCGACGATTAAAGGTACTTGCAATCCAGAGTACCAAGCTGTCTTCCCAATAACAGGAATCTTAGATCGCACCTCACGACAATGCCAACGGTCATTCAAACGACATGCTCTCAAGTGTCAAGTATGGGCAAAAGGGTAAAGTTAATATTGTTTCCTCTTGCAATTTTGTTATTTATTTTTATTGAGACGTGAAAGTTTTAAAGATGTAAAAGACAATTGTGTTATATAATATTAGCATGTTTAATAATTCACTAGCTATCATTTGCAGCTCCTAATAAGCAAACATTTCCCACTGTTTAGAAATAAATGCTTCCTACTCACCCATCTCTATCCATAGTTTTCTAAACTTAGTAATCCTCTATAATGTTTTTTTTTTCAACATTGATTGCCAAGGTGTCGTTAAATTGATATCGAATGTTATTAAAACTTGAAAACACGAAATCTTGGATGCCGAGAATTTTTCAAGATACTTATTAGTCGATATTATTAGATTATTATAGTAAATGGATTAGGACGTTGCTTACAGATGCTCGCTGAACCCCATCCTGTGTTGCACTCATCCAAGGTATGAAGTTTTCGTGCTCAAGAAATACAGATTTATTTTTATTTTGTTCTCAATGTGACTTACATATAAGGGGCTTTTAAAGTATAATTGTTCTTATAGTGCTTTAAAATAAGTGCTTAATTCAATTGATTCGATGTGCAATTCGATGCAATTCGATGCTTATGCAATTGTTAAATACCTCACGAAAAAGTTCAAAATATTTCAAATCGCGTAAACTTGATCGTCAAGTGACCTACCACACATTGACAGTAATTATTTCGATTAAAGATAAAGCTCTTCTCTTGAATAACGAAGAAGAAAAAAAAAAATTTTCACTTAAAAATATTCTCTGTCTTTCGTATGCTGCACAAGATTTTCTAACGTGAGTGTCTTCATGAGCAAGCTGTAGCAACGTTAAGATTGTAATGCTGCATTTTTCGAACGATTGAAATTTTTCTAATCGAATTCATACGTTTGTATCGTTATAGAGGATTTTTCAGAAGCGATAGTTTGCTGGGTACCGTGACAGTAAAATTGCATCCGCTCGAGATGAAATGCATTTTACATGATTCGTTTCCAGTAAGTTTTGTAATCATAACACATAGTATAATATTATTACCGTTATTTTATTTTATAACACGATGGCTTCTTTGTTACAGTTAATGGAAGGGAGGAAGCCAACAGGAGGAAAGCTCGAGTTGAAGATACGTCTTAGAAATCCGATTCTCGCCAAACAGATAGAACAAATCACCGACAAATGGTTGATCCTCGATAATTGATGCACTTACGTTTGTTTTTTTTTCTCCAAAGAAACCTAAAAATACTACTCGTATGTAATTTGGCAAAATACGTCCTGTATTTCTTTCACAAAAATGTTTTAGAACATGACTTTCTTAGCCAACGATATTATTTATCTCGCAAGCGAACATGTAAATGTGTAATTAATCGATTATCTATCCTAGTAGTTAGGAATAATATATAGAGAAAGGGAGAAAGAGAATCAATTATAAAGATTTTTCTATCTTTGCGCGAGCTTTCGTATTCGCCTAATTCTTTTACGCAGCTAATCGTATTTTTATGTGCGATAGGGAGGAGAAAACAGAGACAGAGTACCATATTTGTATCATATTTTAATTATCATAAGCCACTCTCGTATCTCTTGTAGAAATAGATAAGATTAAAATTGAATAAACAATTTTATAAATACTATTCCGAATAATTTGACTAAAACCCGTAAACGATTATAAATTTCCTTATCCTTTTTGAAAGTTGAAAAGAAGTTTGGAGCCTAAGACGATAAGGGTTGAAAAGTTTGCTAAGGCTTGGAAAGAATTAGAAAAAACATGTACATCGTTTGATGATTTACTCGATTGGAGAAGGAACGATTCGCGGGATTAAAGCTGAATAGACATTTTCGAGAGAACAATACATCCAGGTTGAATCTCCACTAACAAACTATTGTCCGGTAATCGTTCGACTCTGTTTCTCTATTTTCAGCAATCTGTCCTACGATTTTGATATTCTCCGTGGGTATTTAATTAACGATCGTTAATGACCAGAAAAAGATCCGTTCGTGTCATAAATAAAATTTGGTTAGATCGCGTTCACAGATGTTGGATCAAAGCGAGGGGGAAGCGGCGTGGAAACACCCGCTGCGAACTCAAGTTATATCGATCTATCATACGTAGGACCGGCCGATTGGAAAACAGCGGGATCTATTTGCCAATTAGACTATTAACAGCGGCCGAAAAGGGCAAGGGCCGCGCGAGACCTGGCAAAATTCGCTGCTGGAAGAAGAACGAACCAACGGATTACACGGTCCAGTGCAGAGTATTTGCCGAGCATATACATACCGCGGTGGTAATGTTGACCTTTTGCCAGATTCATCCTGCGTGCAAATTAACGATGTTTGCTTTCTCAACCCTTTTCCCTTGTCTTGATTCCTACCTCTTCTCTCTCTCTCTCTCTCTCTCTCTGCTCGTATTTTTTCTTGCTGCGTCCGCTCTTCTTATTTCTTTCCTAGACCAAGTTTCAGTTTCTATCGAAACGCGTTAACGCGTAGGAAAAAAAAATGACGGCCTTGCAATGGAAATAAAAAAAATATGCCACGTGGAATGATATATGTATATTAATAGGAAGATAATAGAAAAAATGTTAAAGTCTACGATAAGAAGATAGATAGCCTCTGAATAAATGCAACGTTTCTAAGATAACGCTGCTTTTTCTTGTTTTTTTTTTTTTTTTTCATCGGATCATATACAATGTTACAAAATTATTTATAACAGGAAGACCAATGCAAATATTCTTCTTTCGACAAAATATTGATAATAATAATGTTATCAACGATTAACATGATTGAGAATTATATCGAAAAATTCTCCACGACATGGTAACAAATTAAATAAATTTCCTTTCCTTCCTACTCTTACTCTTTTTCCCTTATCAAGCAGAAATTCCTTTCGCAACAAAAATTGGTTAGTAAAGTTCGCTCATTTTTATTAATTCGTATTTTGCGTAACGCGCGTGTCTCTTCTTTTTTTCAAAGTTGTATGCTACAAAATGCGCCGGAATCCGATTACACGATTTCTGCTTATTCTGCATACTGCCGGACGTGACGTCACTGGAACTCACGACCATGGATAGTAGATGCCAGGTGTGACTCGACACCAAGAACTTCTTTATTCCATCATATAATTAATTAACATACGATCGCTTATTATATTGACAATTTGTTGCTCTTTCCAAAAAAACAAAATACCGAGACAAAATTGTTCAAATGACCAAAGTCCACAAATTCTATTTAAATGTATTATTATATATTGATCATCTCGCATATTATCGAGCTACTTTATTAGCTACATAAAAAGTGAATTTATAGAGGGAAAAACACGAAGGGCTATTAAATTGAGTAGCACGCGCTAAAGAAAAAAGTATAACTTCAAAAAGGGAAGCGGTACGATTCTTTCTTGAAATCCCGAAGGATCTTCTTGGTCTCTTTCCTTTTTTTGCTCATACCTATCGAGCTGAAATAATAAAGTGCTGCTCGTTGATAACGTTCCAGTGACAAATATGACGGGAGTTCCGGCACCGAACGGAAATCACCAAATGCGTTTGCTTCCGTTTCGTATTATTTTCGCGTGTTCCGCATCGTGGTCACGCGTGATGATCGCCGCTGCCTTCCTCGATTATTTCTTTATATAATATTTACTCGTAGCATGTGGATGCTTTATTATCCAATTAAATATATTAGCTTGGGGGATGAGAAAGAGATGGAAACGTGGGTGGTTGTAGAAATACCAATACCAATTTCGAAATTTCCTCCCGCAATTTTTAATATTCATCGTCGAATAAAAGGGATCGCAGTAAGAAAACTCTTTCGGTCTCGTTCCGTTGCGATCCTTAGCCCCTGTCAACCACCCCCCCCCCCCATTTAAAAACGTAGAAGGACCAAACTGTTGTCAATGAACGTTATGTTTTTAATCGCTGCGACACAAATAGCGAGGATTCGATTGTTCGCGAAGCCGATGCAAAGCAGCGATGATCCGAGAATAATTGAACCACCGACGGCAAACAGATTCCTAAAAAAGAGAGAGAGAAAGAGAGATAAAGTAGAAGCTAGTAGGGGTGAGTGAGTTACAGGGAGAGGGTTGTTCTCGACTATCGTTCGAAGACCGTCGCACGATCTCTACTTCATTGTGTCATCCGTCATCGCACTGCGAACAAATGAACGTCTCAACGGTTGCCAGACAAATGACTCGAGGATTATCCTTCGAATGCTTTCTCTCTCTCTCTCTCTCTCTCTCTTCTTCCCTGTGTTTCCCCTGTTTGTGTCTTCGTATTTTTCTCTCTTTCTCGTTTCATCCGCTCATGAATGGAACGAGGGTGGGTGTAGCGTTTCCTTCGAAATATCGGCTCTGGCCACTCGATCACCGCAACAGTTTGCGCATAGACCTCCGAGATCGTATCCGAGGCATTATCTCGATTCATCTTCGAGGAAGAACACGAGGAAGAGAATTGATGCAAGCCTGACTAACGTTCTAAACGTTCGACTTCCGAGACCTTCCGGAAGGAACCTTCTACGGCGAAGTACCCTTTTATTATAATACATTTGGAAGTAGATTTTTGAAGGACATTTTTAAAATTTATCCAACGATTCGCGGGCCCTCGCAGTCTATTTTTTAAGAAAATATTTAACCCACGCGAATTGACATAGCTGATCAATCTAAACGTTTTTTATACTTGCCAATAGTAAATGCCGATAGAAGGCACTTTTCGAAATGCTATCGACGAGAAATAATTTATTCATTGGATAAACAGCAAACCATCGTTTCTACTATTTCCTATATATACTGTATATATACGAGAAGATATAAATTATATAGATTTTTTTTATCGGGTTATAATTTACGATGGATCATATCGAACGTTCTTAAATCGTAGAATTTCTCTTGTATCATATCGCTGTGCAATAATTTGTATCCTATCGTCGTCGATGGCGTCTTCTTTTAGAAAAGAAAGAGAGAGAGAGAGAGAGGGAGAGAGAGAGAGGGAGAGTTGTGGGTGTTAGGTGAGTATAGAGGTGGGTTCATCGGTAGGTTGGCTCGCTGGCTGACTGCTTGGTATCGATGTGCAGCCTGGCAAGCCGGCTATGCTGGCTCAGCACTCTCCCTCGTTTCTCCTCCTCTACCCTTCTCATCCTCATCCTCATCCTCATCCCCATCCTCCTCCATTTCTTTCTCCCGTTCCTCTCTTCCTCCATCCTCCAATTTCTCTGTTCCACCTTTACTCCTCTCTTTGTCCTAGGATAGCCTTGGTCTCGACATCATCCCGAAACTCGTCCATAAACTTAACCTTCTTAGTACCATCTAGGTACTACGCTGATGACTTAATTTTGACGACCTACGAAAGGAGCAATAGCCATGGTAAAAAGAAGTGAAAGAAATAATACTACACGGCAAATTGGAAAGTAATCGATTATCAGGTCATTTTGGAGAAATACCAATATTCGTGTCAGAGAGTATCGGCTTTAATTAGATTTTTAAAGATAACACTAGCAGGATTCATTCGTATAGTTTGAAAACTCGACTAATATCAAATAAATCTCGCGCGAACAACTTTTCTATCGTTTAGATATATATAAAGATCGGATAAGCCTGTAATTTTGCGAGGAGTTTTCCGAAATCTTGAACGCCGATAGATAAACGACTCGAAGATTGGCATTGGAGTTAAGATGAAAAGAACGATTCGTCCGATTTCAAAGTTCTTTTTCTTTTGATTCGTTCGTTCGTTCGTCCGTCTCTGCTTTTCGAATGCAATTGCAGTCGTAAATCTCGCGGTAAAGTTTGTTGCGCGGTTATACTACCGCGGCATGCCAGACGTTTCCCTCTGATCCAAACGATACGATAGATCAGCGTCTCTTGACCTCGCGGTATAAAGATTTAATAGTGGCGCGAAGTCAAGCAAACTTATTCGCCTTTGAGGAAGATCGATCACGCCTTCTGACATAGATATCAAGCAAACGTCGTTCCGATTGCATCTAACGATTCGATTGTCTTCTTCTTCTTCTACTTCTTCTAGTTCTCGTTTGTGAATTGATTTTCTACAGGGACCAATCTGGAACGTCTTCACCTCACAGTTTAGGATTACTGCAAGTTATTTGTTCATCTCGACACATTTCATAGGTAAATATTTATTTTTCCATTGGAAAAATCGGTACCTAAAAAGCCCCCCTTCTCCCCATGTGTAATATAATTAGATTTGACTTTTGAAGCCGAACAAAGAGGTAGGTAGCTGTCGGTATCGCGAAACGGAAAATTTTGCGAACACCTTGAGAAATCGTAAGCGACGATCGTGCGAAAGAAAAGAGTACTAGGAGGAAGGAGGAGGGGGGTCGAAGGATGTCGTCGGAGGTGCAGCGTCGACAAATTCCTCTCTCAAACAAAATGGCCAATCCTATCGGCGTTGTTCCTTCTATTTCGACCCTCGCCAACATTCGACCCGTCTAGACCAACAACATTTTCTACGAATTTTTCTTTCGGCGTCACCTTATTTTCTCCTAGGATTAAAGTACGGATAGAACCTTAAAGCTTCCCTCCTACCTTGAGAAATTACTTAGACGAGGTTACGCATCTTATCTGCGTTCGATTCGATTAAACCTTTGTAAAGGATTAGAAGTAAAACGGTTAAGAATTTTGGTTGGTATCTTACGAGAAAGAAGAAGAGGAAAGAGAGGAAGAATAAAAATAAGGAAAGGAAGATGAGGGTTTGAGAGGTAGGTGCGACAGCGAATAAGGAAAATTTGATATTCATGAAGTATTTTAAAGTCGTGGCATCTCGGGAATGGGTAGGAAGAAGTGCTAAAGGTTAAGACCCGTGGACGTCTGCGAAAAGCTATTTAGATACGAGTCCGCGATTTTCTCATTCTCCCTTGTCCTCGCGTGAAAATATTCGCGCCCCAATTTGATCGTTCCTCGTTTACGCGAAACTTAAAAAGAATAAGAAAGATGGGGGGACGGATCGTTAAACGATTATTCAATCGAAATATAACTACTGCTACGAATAATAACCCCCATGAGCTTCTACTAATTCTACAATTTTCTTCGTATTTTGGCAAAACATTTCTGCCAAGTTTTTATCCGCGACATATTGAGAAAATATCGAGGAGGGAGTGGGTGGAGGGGGACCAATTGCAAAAAAAAAAATCCAAGAAGGGAAAAAAGAAGGAAATTGAAAGGGTGCATCTAGGAACCAAGGCTCTTAGATTAAAGTTAACATTTGCAGAGATGTCGAAGTGGTTCCAAAGTTAGAGGTGGTTGGTGGTGGGCCCACCTTGTATATAATATAGGAGTTTTTGGAAAAGAGAAACGCTTTGAAGGAAGGAAATAAAATAAATAAGAGGAAAAGAACAAAAGGAGAAAATAAGTGGTTGAAAATGGAAGGAGTTGGAGATAAGGGGCGGGAGCAAATGGCGGCAACCGAACGAATCCCAACTCGTGAGAGTTGTTTGGGGTGGTCCCAGAGAGTACGCCCACCCCATAGGTGACGTCACTTAGTGACATGCGCGCCAATGTCATGTCACCCCCGTCACGTTCGGCGCGGCGCGCTGCGCTCGAGCGTATCGGCCACCACTCAGATAACGGAGACACCGACGACGACGCATCTCTCTGCTCTGCCGGCGCGCATCCCTCTCTTTTTTTTTCTCTTAATACCTTTCTCTCTCTCTCTCTCTCTCTCTCTTTTTCTTCCTCTATCTCTCTCTCTTTCTCTCTCTTTCTCTCTCTCTCTCTCTCTATCTGCCCATCTATCTGTCTATCTAACCATCTCTCTCTCTCCTTGTCCATTTCCCCATCTCTCGTGTTAATATCGAAATATTTGTCGGAGTGATAACGACGACTCTCGGTACCAACACCCGCGTTTATTTTGACGAGGAAAAATTTTGCTCAAAGGTCTGAGAAAAAAAGGGATTATTATTTGGCGGGAAAGAAGAAGCTTCGAGAGTGTTATCGAAGTTGAAGGAAAAGTGTCAAGTGATCTAGGAAAGGAGGAAACAAATCGTTCTTCCGTTGGAAAGTGTTGTTGTTCGTCGTGCATCGTCGAAAAGACTCACGTGGATAGCTAGCTACCTGCTACTCGTTTTTTTTTTTTTCTTTTAGTTTATTTTTCTTTTCGGCTGTAAGGAAGGGTGCCCCAAGAAAGGTGGTCACGACGTTAGAAGCAACAACGAGTTGTCAAGGAGGAACCGGAGGAGGAATAGCTGCTGTCACCGAGGAGACGCTCACGTATGCAGCTGCAACGGACGCGGTAGAGAAGGTGGAGGCGCAGGAGGTGGAGGTCGAGGTCGACGAAGTTAAGATGGAAGCCGAGGACCACCTAGCGAGGGAATACGTCCAGGAGTTTGTCCTAGATCATCTCGATCCCGCCGACGTCAAGCGAGAGGTGCTCCTCCTCTTTTGGCTTTTTTCATTCTCCTATTAAATAGAAAAAAAAGACTCGATTTCCAAAGGACACTGAAAAAATGAAAAACGTGTTTGCCGATAAATTATAAAGAAGAAAGGAAAAAAATCTTAGTAAATGGAGGAACGAGGGGGAGAGAGAGAGAGAGAGAGAGAGAGTATCATCGTGCATTTGCCGATCGCGGGATCGTCCGTACGTCAAGGCACGAACACGGAGCACACGTGGTGCTTCTCTTCGCGGAACGTTAAGGAATAAATCTTTAAGTTGATTGCATAACGCGAAAATATCGATGACGGTGCAGCAGCAGCGTGCCGGTCGGTCCGAGTATTTACGTTTCTATATCCTTATCTCCCTGGTGTCATTAATAAAAGTTGAAGTTCGTTAGTGAAGTTCAAGAGATAATGACGATATCGCTGCTCGCTCGATTAATGCGTGTAACGTCATTAACTTCGACGATTTTCTTTTCTCGCAAACTTATTCTCGATCGTTAAATCGATCGATTCCACGCAACTGTGATTCCGTTGAACTGTGCGATATTAAACATATTTATTGCGTGAGAATTCATTTGATACGATTCCCTCGATTATACCGATATATATATATATGTATATATATCATAGATACTTGATATTTTAGATAATAATAATAATTACAGTCGGCGATATCGAATTTTTGGTTTCAGGTACGAATGGGTTCGCCGAACGTAATGGTGAACGGAAGCGTGGTGCAAATTCCAGGACAGGTACAAGCTCAGGGCCTAGCTCTGGCACCGTTGACCCCACCGGCCCACGAATTAGAACAACCCCATCCGTTGTATGGGCAACCTCATATACAAGTGCAACACGGGGTGCTGGTAAAGGCACCACCCGGCGGTGGTGCTGGTGGTGCACCGCATTTGACGACCCTTTCGCATCCAGGCACCCCGCCGGATACGCCACCGGTCTCTGCCTCTCCACCCCCGTTGCAGCTGCATCGCGCGGAGCGAGATCCTCGCGAACGCAGTGGACTCCTCTTGCATTTGCAACAACCGGGATCCGTATTGCAGGATGACATGCAAGTTGGGCCCGGGGTCAGCATGGGCTGGCTTACTCAATCCCTCAGGCAAGAACCCCTCGATTTGAGACCTCATTGTCCTCAGGAACAAGCGCAGGAACCTCATCACGAAGCTTGGTCCTCGTCGACCCCGAATCATCATCATTTTCAGGAGCTTCAACATTTGCCGAGACACACCAGGCATCCCGGTAATATATCCCCACGGTTATAACGTATTTTTTACCTCTTACATATCTCACTTGGTTATCGATGATACGCGAAAATCGTATTCTTCAATGAGTATCTTAGTCTAGACCGATTTTCTAGATCGAATAGTAGCTAACGCGATCGGATAAGAGAATTTAACGACGAGAGAGACTCGTTATCGCTCGCAGGTGGGTACATCACGATGTCCGGTCACATCGAGTACTATGGTGGTCCAGGTTCAGGCGGCGGGATGCTTCCCGCGGGCGGGGGTGTCATGCAGAGCATGGATGATAGCATGCAAGGGATGCCCATGCAACCGGGTAGGCCGTTGAGCGTTTGCTCGGTCAGTTCTTGTGGTGCCAGTGGTCCCAGTCCTGCTCACAGAACTCCCAATGGACTTTATTCGAGCTGTGGACCTGCCAATTCACAGGAAGAGCTCATGAACGACGAGCTCCTCATGTCGCTTTCCGTACGCGAATTGAACAAACGCCTCCACGGTTGCCCGCGGGAAGAGGTGAGTCAGGTCTCTCATTTTTTCAACCATTCGATCAAGGTAATACGGGTAAGATCTCGATCGCTTTCGTATTTTTATTCAATTCGTTTTATGGACGAGAGGAAGTATTATCAAATAACCGCTTGATCATTTATTTTTCTATTACGCGTTTCACAGAAAGATCGATCAGAATTTACCTCTGTTGCTTTTAAACGACTGATCTTCGACTACCTCGAGAAACAAACGAATTTATTTTCCGAAACGTTCATTTAATCGCAATGTCGCGTTAAATTGTTAACAACATTTTAATAGAATTCATTCGTCCGCATAGAATACGAAAGTTTATAGGGTTCTCGAGGTGGCGATTAATCGTTGCGCGAATAAGATAGAGAGAGAAAAAGAAATTTAGATAACAGATTAGTGGACGAACGAAAACGTTATAAGCGATCGATCCTCTTGCGAAGGTTGTCCGCTTGAAGCAAAAACGTCGAACTTTGAAGAACCGGGGCTACGCGCAAAACTGTCGCAGCAAACGATTGCAACAACGTCACGATTTAGAGACGACCAATAGTAATCTGCAAAACGAACTTCAACGAATAAAAGTCGAGCTGGCTCGAACCCAACAAGAGCGGGATCTTTACAAGCAACGTTGTGAAATATTGAGGGCTCGTCAGAATCATCATCACAGTCATAATCACAACCATCATCAACAGCAAGTTCCTCAATCTCAGCAACAACAAGCGCAAGCGCAACCTCAGCAACAACATCAATCGCAAAATCAACATCCTCAGCAACAACAACAGCAGCAGCCACCACCAGCACCCCCGCAACAACAACAACAACAACAACAACCGGGCCCGGCCAGTCCGGAAGTTTACCTATGACATCGACAGCGCCGAGGAGGCGCTTGCTGGACCTGAACGCGATTTTATCGATAAATCGAATGCTTAAATCGGTGAGTCGATCGAAAATCCTTTCCAAATGGAAAACAAATGATTTGGTAAATATTTTCTGGTTTTAAATTTCGGACGGTGTATCAGAGCATAAAAATTCATTAAAGCAGGACCGGGCATCGCAGACCGGGGCTCGTTTAAATGCGTTTACGCGGAAAGATGTGCAACGAGATAAACGGCGCGACGGTAGCTGAAAAGTTAAAGCCTTCGTAAAAACTATTACATCATTGTTTCCCAAGTGTTACAAGTTTATCATCGTGGTCGTTGAGGCTGCGCGTCGCCGGCTAGATTACCACCGCGATTACGTGCTCCGTCGGAAAAATAACGAGATTGATGCCGCTATAAACGATTATATCGTTAGCTCTTTTTTTCTTTTTTTTTCTACCTTTATATTTTCTAGGCGGAACGATTGAAATAACTTCGATTAAAATTTCATTCGCCTATTTCGTAGGATAAAAGAGAGTAACGTTGACTTTCTGCTCGCGGTTTTACGCGTTGTAACGATATTAAGGCCGAGGTCGATTCGGGGTCAGCATTTAAATAAGATTAAGCTCGCGGCAAGCAGCTTTTCCGGATCGGATCAACATTGTAATCCCTCGCATTGCTTCCCACGATTCAGGATATTTTCTTCTCCAAAGTTTTGTTTCGTTAGAGACTAGTTAAATGTCCATTTGAAAATTGATTAATCGAAAGGGTTGTTGCAAGATGTTTTTCATTATTATCACTTGTGGTTTCTCGATAATTTTTTTTTTACAGCGTTTCGAGAACTTTTGTGGATCGAGTAATGGGGAGGAAGATAGAAGGGGAAGAACGTTCGAGCGATACCTCTCTGAGATCTATCCTGGGCGTTATCTCGGCAGCAAAATAATCAAATTATTCCGAACAAAAGTAAAGAAGCAAAAAGCTATTATTTTGCGTGCGTGCGTGCGTGCGTGCGTGCATAAACGTTAACAAACAACGCAATCTTTATATGAGGATAGATGAATTTTCGTTTGTTTCTTTTTGTATTTTTCCTTTTTTTTCGACGATACACAGAGACAGGAACGTCTTCTCCTCGTTCCTCTGCGTGCATAGGATGGTGGTGCATTTTAATGAAGAAGAGGCCGCCGAGGAAGGGAAGGTGTCTACAATTAAGTTAAGACAAATGTAGGATTAAGGAACGCGCATGAATGCGAACAAATGCAGATCCTTTTTTTTTTTGTTTTTTTTTTCATTACTTTTGAAGAATTCTCGTCTCTAGCGTTTGATCTACGCGTGTACATAGATTCATTCTACATTGTTTATGTAATATTATGATCGCATCGCTTGTAATAGCTATCGGATCTTGTTAAGGCCATCGTAAAAATGATTTCTCAAGATTATCGCGAATGAAGAACTTCGCGCGCTCTCTTCTAAACGTCAATTTTACTTACAATTAGGGCATTCGTATAAGTTTTGATACGAGATAGGGACTCTTCTTCGTCCAATTATTATTCGATGCTTTTATTCATTTTCTTACTAATAGACACGATATTGTCATTTGATTTTCTTATCAAACTTTGTCTTTTTTTCTTACTTTGTTTATTTCTTTAAATTATATTTTTATATCTACATTATTATAATGATATCTATCATAGGGTCGGTCTCTCTCAATTGCGAGTCGAGTAGAACTAAAGGAAAAAAGGAAACTTGGACTGATCAGATCACGCGCTTAAACGGCCAAAGTGGGGTAAAAAGGGAAATATATCGTTTTAATATGATTTTGGCACAAAAAGTAATCGCGGTATACGGTAATACCTGTATGGTATTTCTACGACTTGACTTCTTCGACGAAGAAAGAATCTCCATTTGTCTATTCTACGAATTCGACGATAAGAAGAAGAAGTCGAGTTGTTTATGCGTTAGACGGTGGCGTAACTTTGCGAACGAAGGATTAGATGAAATAATAAACGAGAAAAAGGAACAATTTTATTGGACGTAACGAAATATGAACAGGCCGGTGCTAATCGTTCATATTTTAAGGAAAATACCTGAACCTGCGCGTAAAGTTACGCCACCGATCCTAATTAGAAGAATATTATGCATATACAAAAAAAAAAATATATATATATATATATTATTGTATATATATATATTATTGTTTTCTCGTATGGGTCACGTTCGGCCAAAACACCACTGGCCGAAACTTGTCCGATTCGATTTAAGAATGTTTTAATTCCCGTTACATCGTCTCTCGTGTGTACATAAAAGTAATTATTATACTTCTTATTATAAATAAACGTCGACACGCAATCCGACAGTTTCAGATAGCCGACGGAGTCGTATTATTTCGAAACATCCAAAACCATTTCCTTGGATTTACCTTTGTTAGTTTCCATCGGCGTTACCTGCTAACTACCATCTACCTACTACCTTTTAATATAAGACAACAAAATGAAAGTAAAAAATAAAAATATCGTGGAGTCAGCGTTTCGTTACAGTCCACGCACGCAACCGAAAAAGAATGGAAAAGCTCTCGCGTATCCTCTTCCAATTAAAAACTTTCCTTCTGCTCGCTTAGAGCCACATTTTCGCGCATTCTACCTACTCGAATTTCAAGTAGCGAAACCAATATCTTGCTTACGTCGTAGTAATTAAATCCTCCTGCTATGTGTCATGCATCGAGTTAATCTTTATTTAAAGAATTCCAGCTACACGATTTGTCTTTGTCAACTTTCATATCGAAATGTTTCCTTTTCTAATGAATAATATCATTTTCCCCATATTTTTCCTTTCGAAAAATGTCGAATACCGAATTTTGTATGTCCAAATTGTATGTCCAAATTGTACAGTAGTAGGTAATCATCAAAATAAGACGCATTAAAAAGAGAAAAGAGAGAGAGGAAACAGAGAGGAAACAGAGAGGAAAGAGAAAATGGATGCGGAGAAGCTTTGCCGTTCTCGCGCTGCTTCCCTCGCTTTATTTGCAACGCCGTTTCTGCTGACTGCGTCGATTCGACGATGAATCCATCGGGATGGAACGTCGGTAAACAAAACGTTCACCTCTTCCAACCTGACCCCACCATCCACCTCCACGAGCATCACCTCCCGAAACCCCTAGCTCGCGATAAACTTTGCTCGAGTTTGCGTTCCACAATTCTTTCCATCTCTATCTATGCGTCAATTCTCCATGGAGTTATTTCATACCTATATTGTTATTATTATTTGAGCGTTCATTTTTAACGCAACTATATATTTTTTCATAGACCCTTGGAAGCCAGTTTTTCTTTTTCCCTTGGTTAAATTATCTATTAAATTACCCGTCAATTAATTTCTCTTTCTCTCTCTCTCTTTAACGAATGGAAAAAATTACAATATATACTCGTGCATTTATTTAGCTGACATATTACATTGAAATAATTATTGCCTACACGAAACTAAAGCTACCAACGTTGGAGAGCGCGAAAGATCGCACGAGCTGTTGCCCGCTGACAAGCTTGAAGTTTGATAAACTTCTAACGAGGATTTAACCGACTCGTCCACAGAGGGTTGCTTGACAATAGGCTTGTCTTCGATTTCGAACAAGCTTCCCCTAACTACAGACAGTTGCTTTCTTGCTCGACAGGATTAAAACTAATCGTTCCAACAGTTCTCCAACAGGTTCTCGTTCGATGATTATTTTTCATTGAAAAATCTTTCCGTAATATTTAAATATGCATGATATAATATAATTAATCAAGTCAGTAGGCACGGATAAAAGTATAATGTGCATTGCTTTCGCGTAAATAAGAAGAAAAATATCTTCTGCGAAACGATAGGTAGGAACGACGTTGAAGAGAGAAAGATTACATTAGGTTACAAAGGGGTTGCAGAGGAGGAGAATAAAAAATAGTAAAAAGAGAGCGTGCGAGGGGTTGGAAAGGACAAGGCAGGAAACGAGTTGGAGGTGAGACGAGCTTTATTGTCAAGTCACGCCAGCATCGTGGCCTATCTCTATCTACCAGCTTCACCCTTCTTGCAGTCTCTTTCCTCTCTCTTTCTCTCTCTCTCTTTCTCTCTCGGTGACGTAGATCACCTCCCACTATCAACATCCCTTCTCTGTAGCTACTCTTCTCGACCACCTTGCTTCTTTTTCTTTTTTTTCCTGCAATAGCGCAGCGCACGTGCACGTCTTGTCTATCTTTTTCTATTGAACGTTCATAGTACTCGTCTATATATTTTTTTCTCTTTCGTTTCGGTCCTATCGAGAAATCGATTTACGTATACGAATTTGGATTAAATCGAATATCAAAAGAGATTAGATCAGACCAGAGACACGTTGCTTATCGCGTATTTCTTAACGTTGACACTAAACTCTATCGCAGGGCTCTCGGTTATGCGAGAAGAGTCAATTCTCATTGTTACCAAGTCGAATGATCATTGTTTATAGTCGTTAATCTTAAAAATATTTCTTCTCGCAACTCGATATTTTCAATCCCCGATGTCTTATCGTAGACCACACGTGTAACATGTAACTAATATATATTATATGCATATCTTTCTTTCTCTTTCAATAATGCATACATTATCCCAGTGACCGATTAAGGACGTCAAGGGGATAGGTGAAATGAAAAGAATAGAGGTATATACGTTATCAAACAAATACATTTCTCATCGTTTCGAAGAGGACGTCGAACTCCCAAACGATAAGAAAAATATTTTTCGAGACTTTGGTTGTGTGGTCGTGAAAGGTGAAAAAAAAAAAACTCGAGGAAGGATTGGAATAGAAAGGGAAAAGAGGAGGAGAATCAAGGGAAGGACGAATCAATCGGTCCAGCTCATTTCGTCGTCGCAGCTTTAAGCCGGTGACGTCACGTTTACTCTCTCCGCGACGGAGAAGCCAGAGAAAGGGAAGATTCGGCGACGCCAGCATCTTTCACTTCTGATGACGACGTAGGTTCGCGGTGGTTGATGACGCGGCACGTACGTTATATCCGTAGCTAGAGACACACAGACTTACGTACACACGTTTAAGAGGAAACACATGGAAACTTGTCGCATATCACCGAATGAGAAGGAATGAACGAAACCTGCAGAGAAATGCGGAAGTAAAGAGATCACGAAGACGAGTACCTTGACCGAGTCTCGTCGGCCACCACCAATCGCAGATCGATACCGAAAATCTCGTCTTCCGACTTTTATTTCCTATCATTTCCTTCCCACTTCCTTGGTGTTTCCTGACGATGATACGACGCCTACTATATCCCGTACTACAAAATTAATTTATTCGTTGAAATATTATTTAACACACTTTTCAATAATTCTCGCAGATATATTAGGTAGGACATTGATGGAGACCGGTGTAACGACCCTGAAGAAGACTACCCTGACCCAGTCGTACAGTCGGCTCGTCAAAAAGGATCGATACTCGCTAATCAGATCAAACTACCCTACCATTCCTTATTTTCTATCGCGGATGCTCGCAAATACGATCGAGTACAACGCGAGACATCTCACGCGTTATTTCAGATAGATTCGAGCTAATTAACGTTGTTTTTTAATAGCATGGTCGATCATTTGCGATAATCCTAATCCCACGTATTTAAATTAGAAACAAATGAAACATTTACCGAAATTCGATCTATTCAGAAAATATTCTGGGACTCGTTCCAGCTATAGCAGACGGAGCCAGGACCTTCCTAGGCGTAGACCGCTAGTGATTTAGTGCGATCCGATCAGCGAGTAAAGTCCAAGCATCCGATCAGCTGGACCATAAATATCAGGTGTTTTTTTACCACGCTAGACGAGAGTGCTTGCGTAAGTGAGACGACGTAACGCGATAGCTTCGTCCTTCTTCCTCTTTCTCGAACAATGTGTGACCTCTGACCAAGGGAGTCAAGCTTGCTGGACTACCAGCACATTCGTCTTCTCCCTACCGAGAACATCCCTTTCTCTTCTTCTTCTTCTGCTTCTTCTTCGGATTTCTTTCAATTCTTTGCAAAAGACCAGCTTTTTGTCTACCTTATCTTACTCTCCCTTCCATTTTTTTTTAATTAATTTCTCTTTTTTTCCTTTCTCGTTTCCCGCGTCAATTATATTCAAAATATTTTCTCTCAAAAAGTTTTAGCTAAAACTAGACGTCATCTCGTAAAAATGTAATTTATATAAAGAAGAAGATTCAATCTTGAAGATGCCACCCTTGCCTTGGTTATTTACCAATTATAGTTATCGTCCTTATAAAGAAGAGAGAAAAAGCAGGCAGAAGTGCGATTCGCTTCTCGGTCGCCTAGCTTAACTACACTTTTATAGCGCTTCTCGACTTTAAACGGATAATTTTTATCCGCTAAGCCACCACGCTGGTAGATTTCATCTCCCAATCCTCTCCTCGTCCTCCTCGTACCGAGGGCCGATTGCCACGAGATGAGAAGGAGGGACTCCTTTGGTTGTCGGTGCTGTTGGTGAACAGGGTTGGGGGAGGGGGAGCTACGGAGGATGACTTCGGCACCCTCCCAACGTCCCAGGCGACCCCTCATAAAATTAAGTCAAACAGCTACGGGGTGCCGGCACTCGTTTTTCCCTTTAAGAGGAGAGTGCAGAAAAAGACAGAGAGAGAGAGAGAGAGAGAAATAGCAAGGGGTGAGTTCCAAATTGTTCGTGGCAATTGCTACGACGCCTCGACGAAAACCACAATCTTTATTCCTTACTTTTTATCCTAAATATCATCTATTTTTTAATGCAACGAAAAGTGTTAGAAAACGTGACAGCTCCTGTCTGTCTGTCTGTTTGGGCCAGATGGAATTACTTTTATTGTCGTCGTCGTCGTCGTCGTCTCGTGAATTCGATTCGCGATCGTTCATGCGAGTAGCCACGAGGGACACCCACTGGTGCGAAGCACCCCCACCCCCTCAACCCGGCAAAAGACAAATTTGATTGCGTTTCAACTCCTTTTATTTCTCTCTTTTTCACATTTTTCTCGCTTCGTGTAGAGATCACTCATTCATCGGCTCGTCATCAACCGTGATTGACGAGTGATATCGTTAACGGTTTTAAGAGAGGTAACCAACCCCCTGGAAGGCGAGTGCGATCTACCGCGATGATCTCGTTAAAAATCTTCTCAGCCCTTCCCTAACTTCTCGTTTCTCGTTTTCTTCTCTCTTTTTTTGTCATTAACCGTTACGCAACCCTGACGCAAGAGTTTGCACGCAAGTCTGCACGCATTAAGAAATTTATTGAAATTGTTTCTTTCCATAAGGATTGGATGTCGCGTAAGACTTTAACTAAAATACTTTATGGAAACGAAGACCGACTTAGAATTAGCGAGTAAGATTGAGAGAGAGAGAGAGAGAGAGAA